GGGGACACCATGGGGACATCATAGGGACACCACACGGACAGTGTGACAACAGTATGGGGACACCATGGGGACAGTATGGGGTCAGCGAGGAGACACAATGAGGAAACCATGGGGACACCATGGGGACACATCTAGGGACAGCATGGAGATGTTATGGGAATACCAAGAGGACAACATAGAGACACCATGGGGACAGTACAGGGACACCATGGGGACAACATGGGGACAGTTATGGGGACAGAATAGAAATACCAAGGGGACACCATGGGGACACCACAGGAACAGTATGGGGACACCATGGAGATGCCAAGGGGACATCATGGGGACACCACAGGGACAGCATGGGGACACCACGGGGACAGGGTCAGTGTCAGCATGGGGACACCACGGGGACACCACGGGGACAGCGCCCACCAGGGACACCATGGGGACAACATGGGGACAGTTATGGGGACAGAATAGAAATACCAAGGGGACACCATGGGGACACCACAGGAACAGTATGGGGACACCATGGGGATGCCAAGGGGACACCATGGAGATGCCAAGGAGATATCAAGGGGACATTATGGAGATGCCAAGGGGATACCAAGGTGACACCATGGGGATGCCAAAGGTATGCCAAGAGGACAGTATGGGGACACCATGGGGACGCCATGAGGACACCACAGGAACAGTATGGGGACACCAAGGGGATGCCATGGAGATGCCAAGGGGACACTATGGAGATGCCAAGGAGATATCAAGGGGACATTATGGAGATGCCAAGGGGATACCAAGGTGACACCATGGAGATGCCAAGGGGATACCAAGGTGACACCATGGGGACACCACAGGGACACCGTGGTGCCATCCTGGGGACAAGGACTCACTCGCTGCTCATCTGCAGGACCTTCTCGATGGTGCTGTAGCCCGAGGCCATGAAGTGCTGGGTGTACTGGGGCATGCGGATGGACTCCAGCCACTCGGGCACGGAGCGGAACGGGATCCCCTCGGAGCCACCGGTGCTGGGCAGGCGGATGGACACCCTGGGGGGGGGGAGAGGAGCCTGAGAACGGGAACGGGGGGAAACTGGGAAAACTGGGAAAAATGGGAGGAGGGAAAAATGGTGGAGAAATGAAACGGGGAGGAAAAAAATGAGGGAAAAGGGGAGGGTGGAAAAAAATGATGCAGAAATGAAGGGATGGAAAAATGATGTGGAAATGAGGGAGAAATGGGAAGTGCAAAAAAATGGTGAAGAATTGAAATGATGGAAAAATGATGTGAAAAGGGAAGGATGGAAAAAATAATGAGAAATTGGAACATGCAAAAAATGATGGAGAAATTAAATGATGCAAAAAAATGATGGAGAAATGGAAAGATGCAAAAAAATTGTGTGAAAGTGGCAAGATGCAAAAATAATGCAAAAAATGGTGAAGAAATGAAAGGATGGAAAAATGATGTGAAAATAGGAGGATGGAAAAATAAAACAAATTAAAGGATGTAAAAATGATGTGAAAAGGGAAGGATGGGAAAATATTGAGAAGTCAGAACATGCAAAAAATGATAAAGAAATTAAATGATGAAAAAAATGATGGAGAAATGGAAAGATGCAAAAAATGGTGCAGAAATGAAAGGAGGGAAAAAAATGGTGTGAAAATGGGAGGATGGAGAAAGTACTGAGAAATCAAAACGTGAAAAATAGTAAAGAAATGAAATGATGGAAAAAATGATGGAGAAATGCAAAAAAATGAGGTAGAAATTCAAAGATGCAAAAAATAATGAGGAAATGGAGAGATGTGAAAAAAAAAATGGAGATGGAAAAACAATGAGAAATCAGAACATGGGAAAAAATGATAAAAATTAAATGATGCAAAAAAAAAGTTTAAAAAATTAAATGATGAAAAAATTGTAAAGAAAAGAGAGGATGGAAAAATGACGTGGAAAGGGAAGGATGCAGAAAATGACACAGAAATTGAGAGCTGGAAAAAATGAGGCCAAAATAAAAGGATGGAAAAATAATGGTGAAATGAAACGATGCAAAAAAATGGTGAAGAAATGAAATTGTGCAAAAAATGAGGCAGAAATGGAAAGATGCAAAAAGAATGGGAAAGAAATTAAATGGTACAAAAAATGGTGCAGGAATGAAAGGATGGAAAAAATGATGTGAAAATGGAAAGATGCAAAAATAATGCAGAATTTTTAATGATGCAAAAAAATGTAAAGAAATTCAAAGATGCAAAAGATGGTTCTGAAAGGAAAGGATGGGAAAAATGATGTGAAAATGGGAGGATGGAAAAAAATGATAGAGAAATGGAAAGATGAAAAAAAAATAGTATAGAAATGGAAAAGTGGAAAAAAAATGATGTAGAAATGAAAAGGTGAAAAAATAACATAGAAATTAAATGATGCAAAAAAAAAATGATGCAGAAATGAAATGGTGCAAAAAAAATATGAGAGGATGCAAAAATAAAAATTAACAAGAAATGGAAAGATGGAAAAAACTAATGTGCAAATGAAATGATGGGAAAATGGTGTGAAAATGGGAGGATGTGAAATGGAATGAGAAATGAGAAGATGCAAAAAAGAATGCAAAAAAAAACCTGATTGGAAATGGAAAGATGGGAAAATCACGCTGAAATTAAATGATGGAAAACATGTAAAGAAATGAAAGGATGAGAAAAATTACGTGAAAATGGGAGGAGGCAGAAAATGAGGCAGAAATTGAGAGCTGGAAAAAATGAGGCAGAAATGAAAGGATGGAAAAAATGGTGGAGAAATGAAATTGGGTAAAAAATGAGGCAGAAAGAGAGAGAAGTAAAAAAAGGATCTGAAAATGGAAGGGTGGAAAAAGTAACGAGGAATGGGAAGGTGCAAAAAATGGTAAAGAAAGGAAATAATGCAAAAAAATGGGAAAGAAATTAAATGATGTAAAAAAATGATGCAGAAAGGAAAGGATGGAAAAAAAGGATGTGAAAATGGGAGGATGGAAAAATGACGCTGAAATTAAATGATGTAAAAAATGTAAAGAAATGAAAGGATGGAAAAATAACACAGAAATGAAATGATGCAAAAAATGATGTGAAAAGGGAAGGATGGAAAAAAGTAATGAGAAGAGGCAAAAAAATCTGCAAAAAATGGAATAATGCAAAGAAATGGGAAAGAAATTAAATGGTACAAAAAATGATGCAGAAAGGAAAGGATGGAAAAAATGATGTGAAAATGGAAGGACGCAGAAAATGACGCTGAAATTAAATGATGCAAAGAATGTAAAGAAATGAAAGGGTGGAAAAATGATGTGAAAATGGAAGGACACAGAAAATGACACAGAAATTGAGAGCTGGAAAAAACGGGGCAGAAATGAAACGGTGCAAAAAATGGTGGAGAAATGAAATTGTGTTAAAAAACGAGGTGGAAACACAAAATAGAAAAGCTCAGGAACGTGGAGATGCAAAAAAACCCCCCAAAATCCCAAAGAAGTGCCATTTTCACGCCCCTCCTGACCCCCCCTCTGTCCCCATCCCGTCCCTGGTGGTATCTCACCGGGGGTCAAAGTCCGCCAGCGCCTTGAGGGACTCGGGTGCTCGGACCAGCTTGTCCAGGATGCTGACGACATCGGTGAACTTGGGGCGCCGGGCGCGGTCCTGCTGCCAGCACTGAAGCATCAACTGGTAGATGGCAGAGGGACAATCCAAGGGGGCGGGAAGACGGAAGCCTTCGTTGATGGCCTTCATCACCTAGGAGGAGGAGGAGGAGGTTGAGTGGTGTCCTACCTAAAAATGGGGATTTGTAAGAATGTCCCCTCAAAAAAACCAACCAATTGGGTGAAGGTTGAGTGGTGTCCCACCTAAAAATGGTGATTTGTGATTTGTAAGAATGTCTCCTCAAAAAAACCCAATTGGGTGAAGGTTGAGTGGTGTCCCACCTAAAAATGGTGATTTGTGATTTGTAAGAATGTCTCCTCAAAAAAACCCAATTGGGTGAAGGTTGAGTGGTGTCCCACCTAAAAATGGTGATTTGGAAGAATGTCCCCTCAAAAAAACCCCAATTGGGTGAAGGTTGAGTGGTGTCCCACCTAAAAATGGTGATTTGGAAGAATGTCCCCTCAAAAAAACCCCAATTGGGTGAAGGTTGAGTGGTGTCCCACCTAAAAATGGTGATTTGGAAGAATGTCTCCTCAAAAACCCAACCAATTGGGTGGAGGAGGAAGGTGGGTGCTCACCTCATGGTTGGAGAGCTCCCAGTAGGGTCGCTCGCCGTAGGACATCACCTCCCACATGACGATGCCGTAGCTCCAGACGTCGCTGGCTGAGGTGAACTTGCGGTAGGAGATGGCTTCAGGTGCCGTCCAACGGATGGGGATCTTCCCACCCTGTGACAACATCATCATCAACCTTAAACCCACCCAAAAAACACCCTTCCACCATGGTCACCATGGTCACCATGGTCATCAAACCACCCCCCAACCTTGGTGGCACTCACGCTGGTGGTGTAAGTGGCTTCAGGATCATCTTCCAACACTCTGGAGAGTCCAAAATCAGACACTTTACACACCAAATTGCTGTTGACCAAGATATTCCGAGCGGCCAAATCCCGGTGGACGTAATTCATGTTGGCCAAGTACTTCATGCCGGCGGCAATGCCCCTCAACATCCCCACCAGTTGGATGACACCAAACTCCCCCTCTTTTTCCTGGGGGAAAAGGAGAATTTGGACTCAAAAATCCATCTCTTGTCCCCATCTCTTGCCCACCATCTTCTCTGGTGGCTTTTGGTGGCTCCAGCTCCGTTGTCACCACGTTTGACGTACCCGCAGGAATTTATCCAACGCGCCGTTCTCCATGTACTCCGTGATGATCATGAAGGGTTTGTCTGTGCCACCACCACCAACAAAAAAAGACCCAAAATGGGTAAAATGTTCCTCAAATTCCTCCCAAGCTTCCAAAAAAATTCCAAACCCCCCAAAAAATCACCCCCAAAAACTCCCCGACACCCCCCAAAACCACTCCAATAAATAAAGAACACCCTCAAAAATATCAAACCCCTCCAAAAGTTCCCAATCTCCTCAAAAAAATGTCCAAAAAATGCCAACCGCCCCCCAAAAACCCCCCCAAACCAAAACTCTGACCCCACC